AACATTTCGATCATGGATTACAAAAAATTCTATTATGGGTTACAAAAAACCAAAAAATTCGATCATGGATTACAAAAAAACAAAATAATTCGATCATGGATTACAAAAAAATCGATCAAGTATTACAAAAAAATCTATCATGAATTACAAAAAAAAAAAAAAAAAAAATTCCGTACGGACTCACCGATTCACTGTTCGGACTCGCCGATTCCGTACAGTGAATCGGCGATTCACTGTACAGAATTGTCCGGTTCTCTCTAGAACCGGACGATTTCCGATTTTTTAGGCGATCCGGTCCCCTTTTCACGATTTCCGAGTTGAACCGGGCGAGTCCAGTTCGACTCGACGTTTTTTAAAACACTGCTCCGAACCATCAATAGGGCTGGCCTAGGTCATCTAGCAAAGAGTTGGGCCGGGCTTGGACCTGTTCAGGTTGTGCTTGGACTAGGTTGGCCCAGCAAGGCCCATTTCCACACTGATGTACCACAATTGATGTCCCTATTTACCATCTATGATGCACCTATTTAAATACATTCTCTCTGAGTAATTCATCTTAGATATGAATTTTGGATTTAAAATTTTACATATCAAGAATCTCAACCACTGTCATGAATTTGAAAAAATATATATTGTGAAAACCTTAAAAAATAAGATTAAAATATTTTTTATTTTAATTTTTCACATATCGTTAGACATGCACCATTTTTACACATCTAAACCAACACAAGACGTGTTTCAAACCCTTTGTCCATCTCTGAAATGGATTTTTGAAAAGAATCACATTTGAATAAGACCTCATTTAGGGCGTGTTTGGATGTATCATTATCATTGATAATTCACAAATTTGATAAAATTAATCCTACTGATAAATTTTGTGTAGTTTTGAAGTGTCGATTATAAAGTTATTTGAGATAAATTTATAGTCAGTTTTATCTATAATGCAATCACATATGAAACATTTCAACTTTTTATAAGTATGGCTGCAACTTTAAACTTTTTTAATTTTGGAAAACTGTTTTTACTATATCAAAAGTATTTATTGAAAATCATATTTTTTTGGCAAAAAAATCACTAAAGATAGTTAAAAATCACAAAATTAAATAATGTTATATATAATTATACAATGGAAAAGGTTTATATAAGGTTGCAACTTTAAAATGTAGAATTACAGATGTACCTATAAAATCTATCGAAAATGTTGTTTTAATGTTGAAAAGCCCTCTAATTGATCATCTCGACATCGAGATATATGAATATGAAAAAAAAAAAAAAGTTTTTGAGTTTCAGAAATAGTGCATCTTGCAACACATTATCAAACCGTCCATTTTCAAGATTTTCATATGTTTATAGATTTACTTGATTTTAACCATTTTTTTAGTTTAAAATTTTCTAATTAAATATGAAAATAGATTTTAAGACAATCCTAAAATTCTTTTACAACAAAATTACATATTATGATAAAATTTGGAGGTGCGTCTTAATTGAATTGTTTAAGGTTGCAATCTTATAAAAACCACACCTTTATATATTATATATCAAATAATTAATAAAATAAAATTATCTAGAATATATTAATTTCAAACTAAAAATTCAAAACAAAATTACTTGTCATCCAAACAAGGATCGTGAAGTCCTTGCCAGCAAATATTACACCAGGGCCATTCAAGCTCAGTAAAAGAGGGTGAGGTTTACATAAAGTGGCCTCCTTATACGATAGACATAAGGGGCACCTTTAAATTTTGCTGGAGGTGTAGTTTTGGTGTCAAAAAATTTATGATGTCTTGAAAATCTACATTTATTTTTAGTTATGAAATTTAAAATTTTAAAATAATATAAATAAAATAGATCTATAAATACTTTAAAATCTTGAAAATAAATAATCTAATGAACGCGTTAAATGCATTATTTTTAAAATTTAAAATTTATTTTTCTTTTCATCTCGGTCCTAATCGAAATTGAAATAATCAATACGAGGGTTTTCAATTGTTGGAACCATCTCTTCTATATAATTTTTTGAGGTACGCTATGGCACCTTATAAAAAAAGCAGAAATTTATGATTCTATATAGGGGCATAACCGTCCAAACATGAATACCTAATTAGTATTTTGATCAGAAGGGTCAAGAACACGACCTTTCTCTCTCTCTCTCTCTCTCTGCTTCGTTTTACGAGACCTCTGAACCCTCCCATTTGATTGTGCTTTTTCCTCTGCTTTCTCTCTCTACAGCGCCAAGCCCTGCAACTATTTTTAATGGCGATTTTCTCTCTCCTCCATCACCGTGCTTCTCCAAATATCGGACTTTCTCTCTCAAGACTTCTCGCCCGCCTTAGATAAAAAGGCCCGGCAAGTCTCCAATTCCCCTTTATTGCTCTCTCCGAGCCGCCCCAGAGTTTCGTAATCATCTGTAAGTTTCAGTCTTTTATTTCTCACTATAATGGCTTTTTTTACTTTGAATTTCGTTTTTTTGAAGCGTATTTTGCTATATATGGTGGGATATTTGTTTTAATTTTTCTGGAAATCTCAGTAGTTCGCCTATCATGTATTGCGATGAGGGAGAGTTGTTGTGTGAGCTTAGTTTTGACAGAATAGCAGTTAGGGTTTGATCTTTAGAGTTTAAACTTATGTATTTTTTGTTGTAAAAGTGCTTGTTTGAACTAAGTTGTGGTTCTGGGTTTGAATTAAGTTTCAAGCTCTTATTCGAGGGCATTTATTGGCAAGGAATCTGCATATCAGTTCATTTGGATGTAATGGAGGATACTCTGATTTCTGATTATTTTTTTCAAAAGAAAATTGGTTCTAGTTTGTTTGATAACGTTCACCATGAACTTGTGAAATTTGAAGCAGTATTTTCCACATGAAATTGTTGTCTTTTGTTTTCGGTTATTTTGCTTGCCTGTTGGTTTAGGTTTAAATAATATGGAGCTTGTTTATTGGTTGCAATTGAGATTGTAATCGAAGGAATGCGAATTTTGATGATTATGTATATGAAGTCTGTGGTTACTCTTGTTCAAATGGGGAATTTAGTTTTTTCTTTTGATAGTATATGAGTTTCACTTGTAGTCTTGTACAATATTTGAATTGTTTTGACATGTAGTTGTGATTTTGGCTCGACATTTCTACTAATTTTGACTTTATTCTTTATTCTGTAAGCAGTGGAATTCATTCTTTTTTCTCCCATCGTCCTTGATGCCGTAGAGTTTGATACTCATTGAAATCATTATTAATTAGATGAAAGGAATTGTGACAGTAATTTCTATGGCAACAATGTCAGAAATATTCTTGAGTCTTTCTTTCTTTCTTCCTTCTTTTTTTTTTTTTTTTTTTTTGTGATAATTGACAGTTTTGGTTCATTTTCATATTAAGACATTGCACTGCTAGTTCAGATGGAAATTCCTCGTCTTTTTTTCTTTTTCTTTTTTTTTATATTTACCTGTTTGAGAGAAGTGTGAAATTGCTGGTTCTTGGCAATGGTATGTTTGGTTGACTAAACATGGCTCCTCTATATTATGAAACTTTAGACCAGTGGAAAACTCAGTAACTCCCCATACCAAGTTGACTCACTGAGCTGAATTATAGTCCCGAAAAACTCTGACGAGCTTGTCAAGTTCTGCAAAAAAAAATTTGAAATTTTTTTAATATTTGTGAGGTGCTGATTGTTTGCAACCAGGTATGCATAGTCTCATGCTAGCAGTCCGTGTTTTTACCCCTTTGCCAAGTGTCATATAGGCAACAACATAACACAAAACAATATATATGACTAACAACTCAAGTACTTTTGAATTGTTTTATTTATACTACAAGGTGGCTGACTGGTTGAGTTGACTTGGTGGATTTTCTGACCCAAACTCAATTTTTTTCTCACTGGTTTAGACTGTTTGATAAATTATTTGATTTCATTGACTTTTTTGAATGGTGGTTTTGAAATTGTATAAATAATAATTTCTGTTAAAAAATGGTCTCTGTGTGCCTTGCTGACTATGGTGATTGCCTCGTCTAGTTCAATTATGTAAAGCATATTACTTAATGTAGTATTATCATTTTCTCTATGATTAGCGTAGGGGGTATTAACCAATATTACTAACTATTTTCTTTTGCCCTGATATGATAAGATCTTTTTGAGAATTAAAAAAATATTCAAGTCCTTGTTTGTGATTTCTCAATACTTGTAGGCCATGTATCTGCCTCGCAAGACATTTTCGTAGTCTTCCTTTATTAGTAATAGAAATTACCTTTGAAAAATAGTGAGAGAAAAAATGTTGGCAACATTGAGATCTATGTATCAAAGTTTCAGGCAGGTATGATGTATTAAAATTTGCATAAATTTTCCCACAAATTATTGAAATATTAGCTATGCATGCAAAGAAACTTATCTCTAACATCTGAATGGTGGTGTAGCTGAGAGAAGACCAGTATCATAAGTATCATAAGTATAGGTATTCTTAAAATCCTATAGAAGGCCACTTTCTTTTTTGGGTAGATCAGCTTGATATTCGAACCTGGGAGGTAGTGTTGCAATTGTTGACGCCGTAACCAATCAAACCAATTCATGTATCCCTAAGGCCACTTTGTTTTTCTTGCTACTGTTAGCTGCATTAGGTCTGTTGGCTTGAAAGGTAGTTATACTGCCATTAGGCATCTTTTTCGATGAGAATGTCTGTAGTGCTCCCCAGAAATGACTCTGGTATGTCATAATTCCTTACCAAAAGAATAGAAAGCTGAAAAACTATTATAAACTATTTATATGGAAACGCGCTTAGGTCTTATCTTTTGATGTTTATTTTGTTAGTTTGTCATCCCTGTGCATGTCTTAGAGCAATATTATCTCAGCTGAGTGGGGCAGAGTGACTGTTTTTCGTCTTCTTCTTTGTGACAACACTGATGTCCACATTACAGTGCTTGCAGATCTTATTGCTGTATGAGCAACCATATTTTGATAGCCTTAATCATTTAGAGTTGATTTTTCTTATGAGACTATTTCATCTTTTTCTGTTCAACTTTTGAGCTGCTAATATTGGATTTTGAGATATAATAGGATGCTTGCTTTCTTTGCAATGTTTTTATTTTCAGGAGAAACATGAAGACTGGTTTCCCAAAGGAATAATTCTGCAAGTATAATGGCAACTGAGAATCCAATGATATTGGTGGGAAGTGGCAGAGAGAAAAAATGGCTTCCTAATAAGGACACTTCATTGGCTACTTCCCCTCCGAACAGTCTAGCAGCCCAAGAGTTGGGTTTGGTCTTGAAAGGTAATCGATACCCTGGAAATGGGAAGGATGATGTCCCAAATCGAAGTGGAAGTGCACCTCCAAGTATGGAAGGTTCATTTGCAGCAATTGGAAGCCTCTGGCATTCACAAAGTTCTAATACAGAGGTGGGCTGGGGTGCTTCCAACGATGCACTCCAAAACTATGATTCAGAGGAGCAACTTCGATCCAATCCTGCTTACTCAGATTACTATGCCTCCAATATTAATCTTAATCCAAGGCTTCCTCCACCTCTTATGTCGGGGGATAAAAGGCGGCTTGCTCACCATCTTGGTGGTTTTAGAGATAATAGGAGATTGATGTCTTTTGATGATAGTAGTAACGTGTCACTACGTAATTCTCGTGGAGTACTTCCTACCCATGAAGAAGAATCTGAAGAGGATAGATCGCCTGTTGGGAACCTGGTTCGACAGATACCAAGTGATTGGACAGGAAGCAGTAGCGAGTTTTTCTCAGAACAATATGTGAATTCATTAGGTGCTCGCCATAAAAGTCTGGTAGACTTGATTCAGGTAAGAACGCGATTACGTGCTGTGAGCATGATCCTGGTGAAAATTTTATTTCAAGGGCCTGTTGGTGGCGTCTTTGTGTTGTTTTAATATGCATAATTATTTGGTCCGGGAACTACAAGAATTTTGCCTCATAGTTATTCAAGTAAACTTGCAACATAACCATTCCTTGTACTCATTGCCTTTTTGGGTGAGGGAGAACTACTCAAAACACTAATGACTTAGATTATCGCCACAGAATTGGTTCATATATTTTTCCAAAATATCACTTGTTTCAAAACTACACCTTTCCAAGACTGGGATTCCTGACATTTATATATTCCTGAAAATTTTTCCAATATTCTGAGAAGCTGATCATGAACAGCTCTGTGCATACCTGAACGGTTGGTGGAAACTTATAGAACATCATTACTGGTAGCCTTTTGTTTCTCATTATGTCCCTGAACATTCATTGCCAGGTTCTTCATCTGCTTCTGCCTGAACTGCAGTTCCACCTAGGGGGATCATCAGCTGATTTTTATTTATTGGATTGTGCCTTAACAGCTGTAGTGGCCTTTTTAAGCTTTTCATGTTGTCTTTATAGCTAAATGATTAATTGTTAACTTGGATCATGATCAAGAGAGTGGGGCACTGATTCTGCATTTATATATGCCTCCTTTAACAAAAGATGGTATGTGACAAAAACATCTTTGGTGGCTAGGGGTCTGTTCTGTAAAACCTCAATTACTATAGCAAAGATACTTGTATGGGTTACTATTTCTACCTCAGAATTCGTCTGCCTTGTCTAACCAAAGATATTTTGACAAAAACATCCTTGACAGTTGTTCCTTTTGGCAATTATGATACTCTTTTCTACAGACTCAGTTTATATAGCAAATATACATGTGCATCAATTTTTATGAGCAAAGAAGCAAAATACGTTATGCAGTTAACTATGTAGGAAAGAAGCAAAATATTATGCAATTAACCATGTAGGTATATCTCTGTGTAGGTGTGTGCATGTGGTGCTGCTCGAATTTCTTGACTATTCTATGTTATCTCTTGGGCTTTTTCATATGAAACATGTTGGTTCATATAAAAATGTCATTGGTGCCAATTTCTTTCTCATGAAAGTTTTTTTTCTTTCGTGTATGCAATTGTAATCATCTGTTTTGACTTGGTGCTCCTTTTGGTCTTGTAGGAAGATTTTCCTCGTACCCCGTCACCTGTTTACAATCAATCCCGTTCAGCTAATGAGGAAGGTAGCCTTGTAGACAGCAGCTGTAACCTTTACATTATACTCTCGTGCAAAAAAATGACATGATTCAGTGGTGAATGGTATATGGTACTCCAAAGAGGCACCCATTGTGCATTTTGACTGTATCGAGGTGACGGTGACAGTGGGCCTCACTACTGTTAATCTCTTGTGTCCATCATCAGGAACAGACAGTGGATGCCCCTTTGGAATATTGTATCTCATGCTTCATTCAATTATGGTATGCTCTCTTCAATTGCTCCAACTCAGCTTCTAAAATCGAACGCAATCGTTGGCTTTCATGCAGGTTCACCTTCTCTTGGTGCACATGCTGTTGGTTCTGCACCGAGTAGTGAACCTTCCCCATCTCCTGATATCACGGTTATGACTTCCCAAGCAGGGCTTCAAGGGGATTCAACAAGTGAATTTACTGGTTTAGTCAGTGAATTAAGCACTGGAAGTGCTCATTTTGAAGATGCTCCCTTGGTTTGTTCTAGGGCTGATTCTGATGTCACTGGCATGGAAGCTGCACTCAAAGGGCTCAATCTATCTGAGACCCACAAAACCGAGAACCTTAAAAGGCATCAAGAGAGGCGACAGCCTCAACAGAGCAATTTGCAGCAACGTCGCATGCATCAGCAGCGAACCCATGCTCCCATATCGCAAGGCCAAGCTACACCATTGCCACCACTCTCCCAAGGATTGCACAGGCAGTTCAGTGGTTTTGATCAGTCTTTCCAAGGCCAGACCAATTTCTCCTCTCCCAATATGGCACCCACAGTTGAGGTCCAGCCCGTTGTTCAATCTGGTGGGGTTACTCCTCATTTGTATGCAGCTGCATCAGCTTATATGGCATCTGGAAATCCCTTGTATCACAACTTACAGCCAAGTATATATGCTCCCCAATATGGTCTCGGTGCATATGCTTTTAATGCTGCTCTTATACCTCCAGTTATGGCTGGATATCCTTCTCATGGTGCTATTCCTATGGCCTTCGATAATTCTGGAAGTACAACCTTTAATGTTCCCTCTGCTAGTGCATCGACTGGTGGAAATGGGTCACCTGGATCTGATATATACAAGTTTAATGGACCGCTTGGTGTAGCTTTGCCATCCTCTTTTCCCGATCCTCATTATATGCACTATTTACAACATCCTTCTGAGGATGCTTATAGTTTTGGAGCTCAGTATGATCCTAATGTTGGTAGAGGAGGTGGTTTTGGAAGCCAAAGAGATGTCTTTGAATCTCAAAGTCAAAAATCCCAGTTTCTAAGAAGTGGAGCCCTTGGTGGTGCCATGAGCCCAAGAAAAGGGGGCTTCTCCAGTCCAAGTTATTATGGAAGTCCACCAAACATGAGCCTCTTAATGCACTATCCAACATCCCCCCTTGCAAGTCCTGTATATCCAGGTTCACCAATGGCTGTGACGAGCATTCCAGGAAGGAGCAATGAGAATTTCAGGTTTCCATTGGGCACTAACAGAACTGCAGGATCATATTCTGGATGGCAAGGGTCCCGAATCAATGAAAAGCTTGATGACCAAAAGGCTTTTTCTTTTCTTGAAGAGCTAAAATCCAGTAAAGCTCGCAGAGAGTTACCTGAAATTACTGGGCATATTGTTGAGTTCAGGCAAGCTTCTCTTTCATTCTTTCTGCCCCGCTATATATTTCCTTCCTATTCTGTTTCCCGGTTCATGACAAAATCATTTCGTTTTATGCCTGGAATCAGTGCTGATCAACATGGGAGTCGGTTTATTCAACAGAAATTAGAAACCTGCAGTCCTGAGGAAAAGGAGTCTGTCTTTCAAGAGGTCCTTCCACATGCTTCGTCATTAATGACAGATGTGTTTGGAAACTATGTTATTCAAAAGGTATTTTACTTGTAGGAAGGGATTATATCCTCTCTACCTTGCCTTTAGACCCTTCTAGTATTTTTGAGGAAAATAAGGTTCTAGTAGATTTACTCCTCTCTTCGGATCTTACTGGATCTCTGTGGAATTTTTCCTTTTTGCAGTTTTTTGAGCATGGGAGCTCTGAGCAAAGGAGAAAACTTGCAGACCAGCTTGTAGGCCAGGTTCTTACATTGAGTCTTCAGATGTATGGTTGTCGTGTTATTCAAAAGGTATTATAACCTTGTGTTCAGTTGAGATAACAAAGTATATAGTGCTTGTTATAGAAAAGTTATATTAAGAATTCCTTACTCTGACATTACTGCTCTCACCTGTCAGCGAATTATTGTTTGCTTGAAATAATGCTTGTAATCATTTTCTCTTCTTTGGCATCGGAATTCTACATAGGCCCTCGAAGTAGTTGATCTGGACCAGAAAACTCAGCTTGTCCAAGAACTCGATGGGCATGTTATTCGATGTGTGCGTGACCAAAATGGAAACCATGTGATTCAGAAATGCATTGAATGTGTGCCCACAGAGAAAATCGAGTTCATTATATCAGCTTTTCGAGGTCAAGTTGTAACTCTTTCAACACATCCTTACGGTTGCCGTGTTATCCAGGTAAGATGATGTGCAGGAAAGAGTATACTTGGAAGTTTAAATCTTTTTTGTTTTATATCAACATCTGATATCATGTTTATGTTCTGGACAGAGAGTTCTGGAGCACTGTACAAATGAACAGCAAACTCAGTGTATAGTGGATGAGATTCTGGAGTCTGTTTGTGTGCTTGCACATGATCAATATGGCAACTATGTTACCCAGGTTATGTCTTGTTTCTCTTGTTGCTTTCTTACTATTGTCGTGGATGAGATTCTGGAGTTTATCTGTGTGCTTGCACATGATCAATATGGCAACTATGTCACCCAGGTTTTGTCTTGTTTTTCTTGTTGCTTTCTTACTGTTGTCATATTCAGACTTGCAAAGGTTTTTTGGGTCATTCCTGTCTTGTTATATAATTTTGCAATCCCAATTCCCAAATAAAAACTACTCACGCTTTATTGATGAGGTAAGTTGACTGAGCATTAACATAAATTTGGGCAACTTGAAAGACATGAAGACAAGTCATCATTGTCATCATCATCATCCGAGCCTTATCCCAACTATTTGGGGTCGGTTACGTGAAGACAAGTACTAAGGCTAAGTATTCAGGCATATTTGTGATGTCTTAAGCCAGACATGTCTGTTGATCATCCGGAATGGTATATCAGTTGTTTGTGGTGGTTTTCTTACTGTCACCCTATAAATTACTACAGTTGGGCTAACTCTTATCTTAAAATAATTGGAGTGATCTATGAACATTGCATTCTTAAAACATCTTTAACCTAATTCTACAGCTATGGTAACCTTTGTATTCCAAGAGCTCCAGATGTGTCATAATAAAGATCAGAACATTTAGCTCCTCTTTTTTCTTGACCTTGATTATGGATTAGTCTTTTTGGTAGCTATCCTTAATTCTCTCACCTCTTTAGCCGTTCCCGGATCAACAAATTTCTCCCTCCCCAAAGGCATTCTGGTTGTGGGACATATGTACTATGAATCCTGGAAAGAAAGAAATCAAAAAAAGAAAAATGAGAGGTAGTGATCAAAAGTTAATAATTGGAATCTACTCGAAACTTGACGTGAAAACAGTATTTGGCTCTGTACAAATATCATTCAGATGAATATCATCTATACTGCTTTATGTGAGGTCATATTTATTATCTTTTTGGAGTTTATAATTGATGTATTTTACAATGAGCCTTCACTTTTCCCAAGTACTGCCTCTTCCACAGGAGGTTGGGTTTCAATATTGTCATTCTGATGGAACTGAGTGATGATTTTATTTTTCCCGAATTTATTTTCTAACATGATCTACTGTTTACAGCATGTATTAGAGAAGGGTACACCTCATGAAAGAAGTCAAATTATTAGCAAATTGAACGGGCAGGTCGTACAGATGAGCCAACATAAGTTTGCATCCAATGTCATCGAGAAATGTTTGGAATACAGTGATCCTGCAGAACGTGACCATTTAATTGATGAAATAGTTGGACATACTGAGGGAAATGATAATTTACTGGTATGTGTGGATTTCTAAAATTTATTAGATTTACTATATTTGAATATGACCATGAAAATATATCATGTTATGCTGGAATATCTTGGTTGGTTCTATCCTCAATTTCACATGATCAGTATTTTTTCCTTTGTTCTTTCATAATCTGAGCAGTATAGATGGCAATTCCGTGTATTGAGGCTTTTAGTTCTTTCTTCCTAGTTCCTAATTCGCTTTAAATATTTAATGTTGTTTTCGTGGCTATTATATGGGCAAAGAATCCTTCAGAGGCCAAAATCTTTCCTGTTATATGCTCTCTCCAGAATATTTGGGATCATATTTTGCTCCACTAGAACATCACTTAGATGGTATCTAGATTAATAGGGGCTTGTGCAGTGCCAGGAGTGTGTGCTTGGTGGCTGGGGCATACAGGAGTTGGGTGGGAGAGAGCATGATCTATGGTAAGCTCATATGGAATCTGAGTTTCTGCAGGTGTATGGAGACTATGGAAGCAATGTCGTATTGGATTTTTGGATTTTCATAGGCATTGGCAGTGGTGCTGGTTTACATGGATGAGTTTGGTGGGGTGTTTTTTCTCATGGTTCCATCCTATTCTCTTATCTGGATGTGCATCTTTGATCAAGGAATTTCTACCCCACCCAATCCCCCGTCCCTCCCTCCGTCAGATGCATACATACACACAGGCAATCACATTCGCTTCCCATCATTTTGATATCCAAAATGAGTCGGCCTCAAGTAGCTGATTCATTATCCCTCCCTCCCTCTCTCTCGCCCTATCTCTCTCTCTCTGAGATGCACACATACACAAAGGCAGCTATATCCAAAATGAATTGGCCTCAAGAAGCTGATTTATTATCTATAGGGTCCATAACCTTTTAATTTTTTACGAAAGGAAACAAATTAATATATTCAAAATAAGTGTCTGTGCGACACTGTGCAAATGAAGTAGATTAAAAAATATAACTTTGAGGCTAAAAAATTTGTCATGCTTAGTTTCTATACAAAAATTGAGATTTTTTATCCTATTGGAGAGGGAGAAAGAAAGGGACTCCTAGGGTGGAGAGTTGAGATCCTCGATTTTAGAGCAGGAAGGAGACTGAACTCCATTTTTGGCTAGTGAATCACCTATGGCTTTTACCCGTCTGTGGGTGTGGGCAAAGGTGAAAAATGTTGTCGAAGAGATGCTTTACTCTCCAAGAGTAGGGGAACCCTCTGTTGGCCCACCCTATGACATGTAGGGAGTGTCGTCCAGTGAGCAGTTGCAGGTCCCAGCCATAGTTGTAGACTCTTTAAGACGAGTGAGGAGAGCAAGTCTCAGCCATAATTGAATCCACTAAAGCAACTGGACCAGAATAGGTGTTGAGAAGGGAGTCACTGAGGTGGTTTCTGAAGATTCCACCCACACCAGATGGGCCAGGGTTGCCCAGCAAGCATGTGTCCAGTTTTAGTTTGATCATGTTATGAGCAAGTGGAATCAAGAGCAAGGATCTGCCTATATCTGTGGTTTTAGCGCAAATAATTATGTTCCATTGGCTAGGCAGGTTGAGGATGAAAACATAATAACTCCCTGTAAGATAAAGCCCAAGAGGAGATTATGGACCTGATGCAGTTGATAAATGTGGTTAATCCGAGTTCTGGACCATGGAAGATCTTCATTTAACTTTCCAGCCAAACAACCCAGAGTATTGTAAACACAGTGCATTGCCAAGGAAGGAAGCCCCATTGAAGAGAAAGACTGAGAAAGAAAGTATTGAAGTAGCATTTCAGTAGGGGGTGACTCACCCAAAACAGCCTGAACCAGGTAAAGGAAAGAGTACTGGATGAGTAAGGCAACTTTATAATGGATCAAGGGGTGATTGACCGAATTTATTTGTTTCATTATTTTCTTTATTTTAACGTGGGACAATATATATATATATACATTTAGAGAGAGAGAGAACTCTAAGTCTAGACATCACGTTGTGTCACCCACCACCCTGACTACTGCCTGGACCCCATTCTCGGTAGACTGATGCTTGTCTGCTTTCGACATCGGGCAGTGATTTGGTGCAAGAATGGACCAAACCTCCCGAGCTGTTACTGGAGCTCTGATTTGAGGAGGAAATACTTTGTAGAGAGAGGGGCAAAGTTCAGGTTTCTTTGAAACAGGGGGTTCCATATCCACTTGCTAGAATTTTGAATGACAGCTTCTTGGTCATGGGAATAGGGATTCAAGGGTGTTGTTACCAGTCCAAAGCTCCCTCCAAAAAGTTATACAATTTTCCATCTTGGCAAAGAAGTGAATGTGTGTGCATGTTTCTTCTCTTTTCTTTGGCCTTTTTGTTTTTCTTTTTGTTCTTTTAGGTTGGGGGGGAGGGGGTGGAAGGAGCTTTGCTACCATGCAGATTGCTTCCGGCACCCGATTCCCTCACGGAGGGGGCAGGGGTTTGGTTGGGGGGAGGTGGACACCATATCTATAGTTGATGAAGTCCATTGGTGATCAGTCTCCTAATACCAGGCCTCCCACTTGTTTGGGAAGGCAGACAATATCCTGTTTGATGAGACAAAACTTGTGAGAGTCCCCAGCACTGCTCCACAGGAAATCTTTCATCAAACTTCCGAACTTCTGAATTGCATGGTAAACAGGGACCTTTGGAATTGGATTCGCTAGGAAGTGTAGCTTTAATGAGCATACTGTGCGCCCCCACCTCCTTAGTGACAACAACCTGTACTTAGATTCTTCTAGCCTTTCAATTTTCCGCATCATTCCATCCCATTATAGATACTGACACAAATGAGGAGCCTGAAGTCCTTTGGAATTGATCTGCTATTAAAATCCATCCTCTGAGTGAGCTCTTCATAGGGGGTTTCGAGGCTTGGGCAACATCTACAAATTTGAGTTTAGACATGTTTATCTTCAAACAGAAGCCCAACTCAAAAATTGCCATAAATTATGAATTTGTTGGGGGTTGACCTTACAAAATATAAGCGTATCATCTATTTCTTGTAGATGGGTAATGGACAGACCTCTTGTGGGAGGTATTGAAGCCAGTCAGAAGTCTTTGATGAATAAGTTTGAGATGGACCATGCGAAAATTGTAGAAATAATGGAGAGCAGGAGGGGAGACAAGGTCTCATTGGCAGAATCCACAGGAATCCTTGAAGAAGGTGTAAGAGCTTTCAGTCACTAGAATTGGAAAGCAGGTAGAGGAGATGTCTCCTTGGATCCATCTTTGCTACTTCACCCCAAACTCCATTAGATTGAGGCTTTGATCCAACATACCCCAGTCTATGTGATCGTAGGCATTTTGACAGAATGAAATCACCGGCAGCCAACAACCAGCAAATACAGCTGCATTTTTTGATAGAGAAACAAAAACTGAGAAGAAAAAATTGCAAGAAGTAGGCGCAAACGTGGGGATTCCAGAGCACCACCCACCATCAACAAGAGAAGATGAAAAGAAGAACAAAGAGCCAAGCTCACTCTCTCTCTCTGCACATTAACTTTTCTTTTCATTCACTAAACAAAATCATCCTTACGACATTCCATCCTTTTTATTACCCTTTCTCTAACCTCCTATCCTTGTCTTTCTAAAAAAAACTTCCCGTAAAAAAAAAAGAATTTATCTTCCTAAAAGATTGGTTTGCTAAAAAAACAGCCTCTTACTTATCCTACGCACTTTTTTATTTTTTTGGGTAATTTAGTGGGGAAGACAGGCTCCTACCCATTGTTTTCAAATAGTTTAGGAGTTAGTTTTTTTTAGGATGTCAGTGGGGTGGTGTCAATGGGAATGGAAAACACAATGTGGTGACTAGGTGTGCGGGTGCTACCACCACGACCCCGGCCCCTGTCCCTTATCCTACCCACGTTAACCATAATGTAAGTTCTTCTCTTTCTATAACCTTCTATTGATCTTTCTAAAAAGATAACTACTAGTATCTAGACCAATATTTCCTATCCTTAAGATGACTCATGAAACTCATGAAAGATATCTCAAAAAGGATAATCCATGCAGTCCACATTCCTATCTAAAGTCTGACTTCCTATTTTTGAAACAACTCTTTTAAAACGGACCCAAACAAAAAAACGTACTTATCTTTCTAAAAGATAGTCTTCCTAACAAAAACAAAAGATACCTAAAAAAAACAGAAGACATGCGTTTTCCTAAAAAAACATATAACGTATCCCTAACTCCTAAAATAAATCTACCCACATCTCAAAAAAAAAAAAAAAAGATTTTGAATCAACCCTTTCTTGATCTGCAGTATTGAGAAAACTCGCCCTCGAGTTTTGAAATGATTAACATGAATCCTCCTCTGAAGACAACGTCTCTCCCAACTCAAATATTGCGCATTGAGTTTAGGGCTTGACCTTGATCAAAATATCCTTGATAATATCCCCATATAAGTTGTTGAGAATTTTGATGGACCGAAAGTTAGTAGTCTGGCATTGTAGGATAGAATCCTCTATTTGGACATAGTAAAGGTTAGCCCCACCGTTGATGAGAGAAAATAGTTCTCTACAGTCGCTGCCCCCCATTGCCTTCTTCCTCAACTTCTTTCTTTCTTCCTCTAAAATCACCATGGGCTCAAGCTCCTTTGGATTGAAGCCAACATCTTGCTTCTCAATCTCTCCATTGATGAGGAAATTAGATATTCGTGCTGCCTCAAGGCTAACTTCTTTCCTTTCATCTTGTTCTTAATCAAAAATAGGACCTTCATCAAAGATAGGGTCACCTGTGACATCAAGGAAAGACGATTCCAATTGAAGATCCAAACCTACTTGTTCTTCACCTTCAACTGGTTTTTCATTAAACTTAAGTAGACCGACGTTAATGTTGAAATCCCACAATCTACTCTCTTGAACATGAGGCTCCCTACGCTGAGCGTGTGCATAAAACAGGTTCTCGAAATCAGCTTCCGACTCACTACCATTATCATAGTGTGTCGGGGTCGGGTTTTGTGCCAAGCGCTGGGTCAACTCTTCAACTTGCCTTCTCAAGTATTTTACATCATTGTCTTGGAGGTCTTGTTCTTGTTGGATGGGCTCGTTTCCTGGTACCCGGCCGTCGACCATGTCTATCAGCCATGATACCTTATCGACGAATACGATGATCCCACAAGAACCAACTCTTTGATACCACCTAACGTAGCTAAGATCACTGGTAGCCAACATCCAGCAAATACAACTACGTTTTTAGAGAGAAACAAAAACTGAGAAGAAAAAATCACAGGTAGGCACAAACATGGAGATTCAAGACCTCCACCACGCACCATCAACAAGAGAAGTCGGAAAGAAGAACAAAGAGCCAAGCTCTCTCTCTCCCCGATCGCCGATTGACCCCGTCCGGGTAAGTATAGCTCTCTCTCTCTCTCTCTCTCTCTCTCTCTCTCTCTCTCTCTCTACTCTACTACTACTACTACTACTACTACTACTACTACTACTACTACTACTACTACTACTACTACTACTACTACTACTACTCTACTACTACTACTACTACTACTAACTAACTAACTAACTAACTAAACTAAACTAAACGTAAACTAACTACTACTAACTAACTAACTAACG